GGGTGCGTTCCCAGCACCTCAAGCACCTCTTAGCGAGGCGACTACCCGCCCTCCTTCGCAGTACGTGGCATGCGGGTTGCAGGAGCCCTCGCTGACAGCCCGCAGAGGTGTACAGGCTGCCCTGAGGGAAGAGGTTTCCCTGGCATCACCCACGCGTGGCTTAGGCTTGTTTGCCCCGGGGTTTGAGGTGTTTTCCACTAGGTTTGTATGATGGGGGGTATATCATTTTCATGTTGCGTCTTTGGACTGTCTTATAGTAACTTTTACCAGGAATTCCCACGAGGTCAGTTAAAGCTATGCAGAGATGAGGTGTGAAGTAAGCATCCCTGAGAGAGGAACCGAACGTAGAAAAGGGAATACAAGGAGCTGGTGCTGGGATCCTCCATCCTGATCGTCTGAAGAGGCAAAGGCAAGCAGTGCAGTGGTACCAGCTCAGGTGTGGGGCAGCCTGAAGCTGGGTTTGATCTGAGCAGGCTCCTTACTCAAGAGGTGCTCTTTGTTATCTGTCTCTCTGCCATACTGAGCAGCCATTCATTTACTTTCACCATCAGTACCTGCTTTATAACCAGAGAAAAACATCTCTCCAGGGTGCTTGTTTTGTATTCATGTATGTTCATTGTAGTCTTCACTCTCTTTGGCTGTGTTACTCATAGGGATAATGATGCTCTCACAGTCCTGGTGCTTTGAGCTGAAGGTGCAGGAGAAAGGTGGCATGGAAAGGAAAAACAAACACACAAACAAACAGTCCGTTTCCCTTGGAGCAACTTCTGCACTGGGAAAAAAAAAGGTGTGTCAGTGGTGAGTTTTAACCTGGTGAGACCTGCAGGGGTTTTGATGTATGCAGTTTGTGGCTTTTGCTGCTACACTCCCAATAGGCAGCTTGGATATTTGGTTGGATTGTTTGTCCACAAAGAGGTTTTCATTGTTGTGTCTTTGCTGGCAAGTGGGTGCTAAATAAAATCTGTCCTGGGCATGCTTAGTTGTATTTGCCAAACACCTTATTTACGGTGTAAGTGTTGCCCATTTCCTGGAAAAAAATGCTCTGCTGCACATTGCTTATCACTTGGCATGTGCTGGGTGTATGGACTGTGATTAGTATAACCTATTAAGTAGGTAATGTATAGTAAGCATTATTGCTTATTTTACAATCCAGCTTGAAGAGCTGTTTTCCTTCATGGCTTGTATTCAGTCAGTGGCAGCTTCATACATAGAATCATAGAATGGTTATGGTTGGAAAGAATCTTAGAATCGTAGAATGGTTTGGATTGGAAAGGATCATCAAGTTCCAACCCCCCTGCCATGGACAGGGACACCTTGCACTTAACCAATTTGTCCAAGGCCCTGTCCAACCTGGCCTTGAACACTGCCAGGGATGGGCCATATACCACTTTGGGCAACCTGCTCTAATGCCTCACCACCTTCATAGTAAAGAACTTCTTCCTTATATCTAACCTGAACTTCCCCTGTTTGAACCCATTTCCCCTTGTTCTGTCACTACAGTTTCTGATGAATACCCTCCCCAGCATCCTTATAGGCCCCCTTCAGATACTGGAAGACTGCTCTGAGGGCTCCATACAGACTTTTCTTCTTTAGACTGAACAGCCCGAACTCTCAGCCTGCCTTCATATGGGAGGTGCTCCAGTCCCCTGATCATCCTTGTGGCTCTCCTCTGGACTTGATCCAACAGCTCCGTGTCCTTTTTGTGTTGAGGACACCAGAACTGTACACAATACTCCAAATGAGATCTCACGGGAGCAGAGTACAGAGGCAGGATCACCTCCTTTGACCTGTTGGTCATGTTCCTTTTGATGCAGCCCAGGATACAGTTGGCTTTCTGGGTTGCAAGCGCACACTGAAGCCGGCTCATGTTCATTTTCTCATCAACCCACACCCTCAAGTCCTTCTCTGCAGGACGCCTCTTAATCTCTTCTCCACCCATCCTGTAGCTGTGCTTGGGATTGCCCCAACCCCAAGTTGCAAACAGGACCTTGCCCTTCGCTTTGTTGAGCTTCGTGATGTTTGCACCTTTCCCTTCAACTGTGATTTGTTCTGTTATGCTTACAGATCAACTCGTGAGGCAGGTGTAGATTGTTTGGAAGACCATGAGCATTGTGGAGAAGTACATATTAAAACATGCTGCTCTTTTATGCTGAGACAGTGTTAGTCAATGCTCTCTCTTTTGTGGCAGAGACACCTGACCTTTTGTGAGGGGGTAAATCCAGAGACAATGTAGACTCAGAGCAGATTTCCTCTCTTATCCAAGAGAGCCTGTGCTGTGCTTTGAATGTTCACCTGCTGTTTGTGTGTTACCCCATTATGTCTGTTCTCATGTGTTCTTGCAACACTTCTTGGTGTGCACTCTTCCTGTGAGTTAGCAGCTGTCTGCCAATAGTGGGCTGAGGAAACCCCTCCAAGCAGCTGTCTGAGAGGGTTGTATAACTGTGTCTGAGAAGAGGAAAACCAATCATCTGTGTATATTAACATTTTTGCTTGATGCTCTTATTTTTAGCAAGAGGACATTCGGAGCTTTTCCAAGGGCTACTTTGATTGCTGTGTGATCAGTCTTCCAGTTTGTTGACAGATGTCTCTTGTTAGAGATAGTAAGTTAGTAGGCCTATAGCTACAACCCCCTGATTCTTTCAGTACTGTGTTCTTTGTTATTTAACTCTCTTTTCAGTGCAGCTTTTTCATCTTAATTTAACCTGTGTCAGGCATATTTAGCATTGGAAGGTGAGGAGAACCTGAGCTAGTAAAGGCCTGGGATATCTGAAAAGTAGCCAGTGAGGCTGGGTGCCTTAGTGACAAGACTGTAGCAACTCTTGTAGGATGGAAGCTTTTCTGTTAGGGATGACCTTTTCTGGGGTCCTGTACTCCTCTATTGTTATGAGATCTGCCACTGGGAATCCTTGTTCCTCTTTTCTTAATTTAACTTCAAAGAAAGTCACTGTAGTACTTGTTCCTTGCCCCTCTTTCACTCCTTTTCTTTTATTCTACATAATAGCTTTTATTTGGAAAGGCCTTGCCCAGAAATGGGAGGTCTGCATTCTGTTTCTTATCTGCAACTTTCATGTCCCACCTGTTCTGAGAATGTCCTAAGTGCCATCTGTTTTAAACTTAATTACCATGTGTAAAATGTACAAATAGGCTGAAGTGGAAGCTAGAGCTCAGGCTTGTCTTTCCCAGGTGGTTACCTTAATTACCGGGCTAGAGAGAGTTGGTGTGTTTCACATTCTTCCGTGGAACCTGTGCTCTTCCAAGGTGGGAAGTAAAGGCTTTGATTCCTTCAGGCTGAGGAAAGCATAGAACAGAACCAGGTGGTAAACTCCCTTTATTAAACTGGGCCACTTCTGCTACAGAAGATTTCTTTTAAAAATGAGTTGGCACATTTGCATTGTGTCAAGAACCTGCTTTTGTTTTTGTGTGGCCAGTGTAGTCTGAGAGCATTTGCTGAACTAAGGCCCCACAGTGCCTGGTTCCTAGAACAAGGGTAAATGAGAAAGAAGTATTAAACTAACTGGACTGTGGCAATTTGAGGCAAGTGCAGAACTGTGCTTTTTTTCTTCACAGTACTTGGGCCAAGTAAAGTGCTGCTGGAACTGTAGCAGCCCTTCCTGAGTAGAGATGATGCCACAAGAAGTGTGCTCCATCGTAGTGTTGAAATCGGACAACTCTTTATTTTTCAGAACATCTGTATAGCTGTGAACATCTGGATTGTCCATTTTTTCTAGTGACAAAAGATAGGATTTTGTTTCTGCTATGGTGGAGAAAGTTGAGCTCAGGTAGGGCTATATTTCAACAATGGGGCAACTGACTGATGATTCAGCTTTTCCCTGTACTATACTACAGAGATGTGCACAGCTGTAACTTCTGATTTATGGACTTCTAATGGGATTCATAAAACTTTACAGGATGCCAGAAGAGGATGAGCTGTCTGCACAAGTAGGGTGAGTGACTGGAGGCTCCTGCTTTATGCCAGCTTACTGCACCAGTTAACCAGTTAAGGTGTTTTGCTTCTCTTCCAGATACACCTTTTAACAAGGTGTTAAAAGGATGATTCCCTGCAAGGGTGAATTTGTTACTGATAGGAGGGTGATTCCGTGACCTTTTGCCAAGTAACGGATTTGCAATATGCATGGTGAAGTCACAAAGGAAAACAAATTCAATAACTGTATAGTCAAGAATCAAAGGCATTCTGGCTGCAAGGGCGGGACCTAGGTCTTTATGAAATCAAAGCAGATGAATGAGCCTCTACAGATTCTGCATTTACCCGTGGGGTTAGAGTGAAATCAGTATCATTGTACAACTTGCATTACTGATAAGAGAAAGCACGTAGTCAATGGACATGTATACTGCTTATGCAGTATTGAAATTTCCCTTATTTCCACCACAGCAGTGGGAGGTACCACACGTCTCTGTTTTGCTAAACTGCTTCCAGAGCAGGGCAGTTGCTGTGGTTTGATGGATAAAACATGTAAGTGTTGCGTAGGTATAGCTGGTACTTATGAGTAATGCATAGCACTTTTTTCTTTAAGGAAAAGTATTTAAAATTAAACAGGCCTATTGTGTGTTTTAAAATGAAAATATTTTTTTGCAAAACTAGAGCACGACTTTTATTGGAAGAATGTTTTCACAATGTGAAGTAGATGTGCTGGACTTTTTAAACTTTGAAACCTTGAAGAATTACTCTGTAAAAATGAGAGTTTTGAATCAAATAGCAGTATAACAATTCTGTATATGGATATATGTCTTGACTGTTATTTGGGCAAGCTACTAAATCGATACCTTCTGGTATTGTTTTCTAGGCACTACGACTAAGTGTCTGTTAAAATTGCACTTAAATATCTTTCTGGAAAGTCTGATTGCATTGCAATCAGCCTGATTGTCTTTCTGAATGCTGATGCTTGTAAGAGTATTTAGATATTTGACTTCCTTGAGAAATGCCTATGAGGTTATATGTTGACATTTCTAGTTTTCCCCTTTAGTCGCTGGATATGTCCAATGCAGTGAATAATGTTCATCTTGTCTGATGCTGTCCTGCTTGGAGAAGCAGTAAGGTAAGAGTTTGTAGACCAAGGTCGTTCAAGAGGAACTTGTCAAGCTCAGTTTTGAATGAAGGAATACACCAGAACTTGACTGTCAGTACATGGCCAGAGGCTATTGGAAGTTTTAGATGAAGAACGCAATTGTGTTTGTGCCTTGAGAGCTCTTAGCAGCAGTACTAGCACCAGCTTCTGCTCCCTTGCCTGCAGTTCTGTCAGACTTGACTGCCATTTATCAAAACTTCAGGTAGTGACTGTAGAAATTTTGGCCAAACCCCAAGATAGTGTGACTGTCAAGTAAGTGTGCATGCAGAAATGCAAGAACACTCTCTAATTGGTGTAGGTAGAAAATGGGATCTGCCTCTGCCTTTCTGGTATCAGAAGTTCAATCAGTTGCTTACAGCTTGTGCTATTCCTGTAGCACAGCAAGCTTTATGCAGGTATTATGGTTCATAGTTTGAGAAGGGCTAACTGTATCAAGGGTGTGGAAAGATAACCGAGAAAGCAAGATTTGCTGTTGTGAATTGATGTTCTTTATTTAAATGTGGCTGTTGAGAATGAAACCAAGCAAGACAGACTCTGTGGAGCAAACTACCACTAGTAAGAGAAAGTGACTCATTGCTTAATACTAAGAAAAGTAATGAATAGCTGGTATGGAGAGTGACATAAAACTCCTTGATCGTCTGTCTAGAAATTTAATTTCTTGGAGAAGAGGTGTAAAGCAACCAGTTAAACAACTTTTTAGAAAAGCTTTTCAGGTATTGTGATGAAGTGGTGACGGGAGAATCTTTGTCACTGGGGACTTTATGTACACATGGAAATTTGATGTAGAGAAACACTATAGCTTGTTGCACCAGAAACAGGATGTTGGTTTGCCAGGTGAAGGATAAAATCCAAAGCATTGCTTTTCTGCATAGACGCAAGAGGATAGCTTTTGCTGAAACTGGCTACAGTTAAATATTAGCATTGCTGCGTTTTCATTTAAATAAATATTGTCTTGATTTCTGGCTAAAGCTAAATATTAGTATAGCTGCATTTTCATTTAAACAAATATTGTATTGGTTGAAACCAGGTACTTTTACTTCAATTGCTGAGTAGCAAAGAGTTGTCTTGAGTGAGAATTTCACATGCTTGAAGTTCCTTACCTTAGTTTGAGGACATGGAGGTGTAGGAATGCTCATGTGGGTACAAACTGAAATACAAGAAACTTCACTTGAGAGGGTGTCTGTTGTTTGTGGTTTTTTGGGTGTTATTTTATTTTACATGATGAATGTCATCAAGCACTGGAACAAACTGCCCAGATAAGTTGAGTGTCTGTCCCTGGACGTATTTAAAACCAAACTGGACATGTCCCTGAGCAGCCTGCTCTAGTTGACCCTAGCTTGAGCAGCAATCTTGGACTGGGTGATCCACAGAGTTTCCTTTCAACATAAACTTCAGTGATTCTGAGTCCTCCTCAATATCAGAAGTTGAACACCTGCAGTTTGTGACAAGATAGCATAAGGGGCTTGTTGAAAACTCTGCAATGAATGAATAGAGGCTGTGGCATGAAACCCAAGGTTGCCTAAAATATAATTCCAGGTCTTTCCCCTTACAGGATATAAGTAAGTGTTGCTATTGCGTTTCATCCAAAACCCCTGAGAAAAAGGTGTTTTATTCAAAAGTAGTAGAGCAAATACTGAAATGGGATATTAGAATGTTATCTGAAAACAGAGGTCATATTTTTGGAAAGATGCCTGAATTCTGATTCAGCTCCCCAGTTGAAGAGAGGAGGGTTATCAGGAAGTCTAATTCAGCTAGTGCATGGACCTTCTACAAAAGCAACCTATAAATATGTGGTCCAATGTTTTAGTCTTTCTTTCTGTGTTTCGTACTCTACAACAGTATGTGCGGACTGGTAGGGCTTTTGGGTTCTTGAAGGACTGAGAGCCCAGGATATTGACTGTTCTCTGTGCCTGCCTGGCTGTATTCCATTGCCTTTCAGAATAATGCAATTAGTGGTGGTTTTCAAGTATAAGTGAGCTAGATATTAATGATAAAAGGTATGGCAGATGCAGGATTAGTTCATATGTGTCTTGATGTATTAACTTCCCTTTTTTCTTTGCATCTTTGCACAGCTTTGCTCAGTGTTTGTGACTGCTGTTGAAGTCTACTCTCTAGTTGCTTACTGGAGAGAGTTCTGGTAGCCTGACTCAGCTGGCAAGTATTAACAAAAGGACCCGTGCAGGCAATCTGATTCCTTGTGTTTGAACAGGATATGTACAGGATGTGGATAGAAAAACATTGTGAACAGCAGGTAATTCTAAGGTGCTATATATGGTGATTTGTACCTGCTGTGAAAATAGATAAGATTCTGAATGTTCCAGGAAAAATAACACTATAAAGTTCATGTTAACAGTACTAAGATGTGAAACAGAAGCATGGTACGCAGCTTTGGTTTGGGAAGTTAACTTCCGCCAAGCAACATTTCTCATTGAAGTTTCTAATGATATGGATAGTCAGAGAGGGCTATTGCCACTGCTTCCCAGACTGACAAGAGCAGAATGTATACCATTGCCAGCAGCATGCTACTTACTTAGTCCTGTTTGGGTTTTTTTGTGTGTGTGTGTTTGTCCTGGGTTCAGCAGTAGCAGTCATTTTTCGCTTTCTTGGTAGCTGGTGCAATGCTGTGTTTTGATTTTTGGGCTGGGAACAGAGCTGATAACACCGATGTTTTGGTCTGGCCAAGGACTTTGTGATCCTCATGCTCTGCCAAGGAGGAGGGGAAGCCAGGAGGAAGCAGAGACAGGACACCTGACCCAAACGGACCAAAGAGGTATTCCATATCACAGCATGTCATGCCCAGGAGGTAACTGAGAGTTACCTGGAAGGGCTAGGGACTTCAGGGTTGGAGGACGTATCGGTCGGGCTGGGGGCAGTGAGTTATTGATCGCCTGGTGATGAGGTGTTTTATTCTCTTCCCTTGTTATTTCCTTTATCATTACTATTATTGGTGGCAGCAGTAGTGATTTGTGTTATACCTTAGCTACTAAACTGTTCTTATCTCAGCCCATGGGAGTTGCATTTCTTTTTGATTCTCTTCTCCATCCCTCCAGGAGTAGGGGGAGGGCAAGAAGGGGGGGGGAGAGGGTGAACAAGCTGTCTGGCTGGGGTTAAACCACGACAGTTCTTTTTGGCACCCAATGTGGGGCTCAAAGGGGTTGAGATAACGACAGATCTGACTGGATTAATAGTCACTATTCACAATGTGATTTATTGACTCTCAGAGTTGTTCCTCTTGATCTCACAGCTTCAGAATGTTGTAACTTACTTAGAACCGGTATTTGCTGTGTTAGTGTTTATCAAGTATGGGGCTTGGGCTAAGGTTCCTGTCTCACTGTACTTTATGGCAATGATTTGTAATACGGGGGGGCTCCAGCAGCAGGACGGGACGAACGTGGCCGTGGACTGGTCCCTGGCCGTCCGTCTGCTCCTCACTGTCCTGGCCCTCGCCCTCGCCTCCGTCTGCATGAGGCCGCAGGGAGCCGAGGTGGAGAGGCCCTGTGAGCCAGTGGCTGCTGAAGCGGCCCGGGAGAGCGGCCCCAGGCACCAAGCGGGAGCGGGACCGGATGCCGTGAGGGAGCGGCTGCCGGTGGAGGAGGTCGGGGCGGTCGAGGAGCGGGAGGAGGCGGCTGCCGAGCAGCGGGAGAAGGCGGCGGAGGAGCCGAGCCCCACGAAGGAGCCAAGCCTTGTGACAGCCGAGAGCATTCCCCGGAAGCCGCCCGCCGAGCCCCAGGAGGACGCAGGAGACCCCGCAGCATTTCCCAGCAAGGCAGAGGAGGAAGAGCTGAACTCAGAAAAAGAGAAGCTGGTGGTGGGAGAGCCGGCAAGCACAGCAGCTACACCAGCCCCAGTGACAAGTACAGCAGCATTGTTTGAGAGTTCTGAAGGATTTGAATGGCCTTTGGGTACCCTTGGGACCTGCCTGCTGATTGTGATGGGGATCAGCATGTTGGCACACGCACAGAGTGTGTTTTACCCACCACCATTTTGTCTGATCTCAAAAGTTAAGCAGAGTTGGGTTTGGGTCTTGTCTGGGGTTAGACAACGATATAGGAGGACCAGGAGATTGACAGTCATGAGTGGCAGGGTGTGTGGGACAGTATGGGCGAGTATCTAGCCCACTGGGCCCCTCCAGTGCTTTGGAAGCATTGGAGATGGAAGGCAGCTGTATGGAGTCCCCAGCTACAAGTTGCAGAAACTGCTGAAGGGGACAGTGAATTATTTTGAGCCTTGTGGGCCTGTGACACTTCAGGCCAACAGAGCAGCAATGCAACATAGAGATGGACTCATGATCGAGGGGTGGACTTAACAATGGACACTATTGCCCAGGTTATTCATGTGTGTGAACACTGCACACAGCCTTTCCTGCTCTGAAAGATTGTTAAAAGAGATGGAGCCTGACGTCATGGACCAGATGGGCTCAGCAGCCTTATAGGGACTGGTCCATGCACTAACACAAGAATGCACTTAGATAAGAGTGATGGTATATTGAAAATGTGGGATCTGAGCATGATGTGAATGGTATGGAATAAGGGGTGGATAATGTCCTGGGTTCAGCAGTAGCAGTCATTTTTCGCTTTCTTGGTAGCTGGTGCAATGCTGTGTTTTGATTTTTGGGCTGGGAACAGAGTTGATAACACTGATGTTTTGGTTTGGCCAAGGACTTTGTGATCCTCATGCTCTGCCAGGGAGGAGGGGAAGCCAAGAGGAAGCAGAGACAGGACACCTAACCCAAACAGACCAAAGAGGTATTCCATACCACAGCACATCATGCCCAGGAGGTAACTGAGAGTTACCCGGAAGGGCTAGAGCGGACTGCAGGGTTGGAGGAGGTATCAGTCGGTGCTTGGTCAGGCTGGGGGGGCGAGTTATCGGTCACCTGGTGATGAGGTGTTTTATTCTCTTCCCTTGTTATTTCCTTTATCATTACTATTATTGGAGGTAGCAGTAGTGATTTGTGTTATACCTTAGTTACTAAACTGTTCTTATCTCAACCTGTGGGAGTTGCATTCTTTCTGATTCTCCTCTCCATCCCTCCAGGAGTAGGGGGAGGGCAAGAAGGGGGGGGGAGAGGGTGAACAAGCTGTCTGGCTGAGGTTAAACCACGACAGAGTTTTATTAATTTAATGAAGAGCGGTAACTGTCAGTGTAGACAGAATCTGTATTTCTCTTATGTCCTAAGATTTTTTAAAGAACTGAAGCATCTTCTTCTTTATGTACCTACAGCCAATCAAAACTGAAGTGAGAACTCCTGTGAAAACCTCTCCTGTGACTTCATCCTCTCCTACTAAGTTTTGGGGTTTTTTTATTATTTTTTGTTCTCCTCTGATTCACTTTCAGATCCTTTTGGCTGTTGAGCTTTCTGCACAGGGGAGTAAGTTCTTTAGGAAATACATAGCTATGCAGAAGGACAAAGAAAATGGAGTACTTAAACCTGTTGATGGCCTGTGTGAAGAGCATCTCAAAGGTTACCACTCTGGTCCCTGTAATCCAAGGAAGCTGAATAAAAGGCTTTTCAGTGCAGTTGTGATACTGGTATTCATCCTAGTGGTGCTTCCTGTTGTCCACACTTTTCTTTGAGGAGTATTGAGACCAAGTTTCTTTGTACTTAAATATGCTTTTATTTAGTCTAGGAGGCACAAGGTGGTTGCTTTCTATCTCTTGACAATTCCTAGAAGAAATTTCTATGCCAGCTTCTTCAGACTTATGGTTCTGGAGTAGGGTCGTGATTAAGTATCTGTTCTTTTGAGCTTGCCAGCTTTGCTTTTCCTACACTCCACAGCTTGGGCACAGTTTGGAAACCATGGGTTCCTTGAAGCACTAGGTGAACAGTGACACAAGAGTGAGTCAGCAGCGTGCTAAATGTCTAATATTTTCTCACAGGTGTGTGCTCTCTCTTCTCTAAATTGCTTCTTGCTACTTTGGTTGCTTTTTAGCCTGATAAGCAAAATGAAAGTTTTGTTGTTGTTTTGTTTTTTTGTTTTTTGTTTTTTTTTTTCCTCCTGCTTCTTTTGTATGAATTCACTAATTGCTTTTTTAGGACCTTGGCTAAGGAATTTCTTTGTGTTATATGTATATGAACTGAGGGATTCAGTTCAAAATTTTCAGCTAAGCAAAACTGTTACAGGAGGCGAGATGAAAGAGCATAATTCTCTCTAGTCTGCTCTAACTATTACAGCTATAGGGACTGGAAAGTCCCGAAAGCTTGTTCCGTTTCTAGGGTGTGCACAGACTTCACAATGTAAATTCATAATGAAGCTTTTGTAAAGCCTGTCAAACATGTTGATGTAAACCAGCTTATCTGTTGTCACCTGTGCTTTTTACATGTGTTAAGCAACTGAACTTCCTCACATGCAATGTAAATGTTGCAACAATTTTTCTTTTCATTTATTCACAAATATATATACATGAAGTAGTATCCTTAAGGCAGGCCTCCTTCTTCAAGAGTATTTCTTGTTATAAAGGTTTGGGGGTTATTTTTGGAGTTTTGTTTTTTTGGTTTTTTTTTTTTTTTCTTTTTCAGATGAGAAACTGGAATTTTGCTTTGTAACTCAAAAATGTTATTTCATGGGAAGCAAAGTAAGTCTAAGGACTTAAGTCAATTGACTTTATGATTTGGTTGCAGTTAGTTCACCGTCAAGTACTATTGAAGAGCATTTGCTACTGTCCCCTAAGATAACCCTATTGCATTGAATATGGTCCAGCTTGCATCGTGCAGTCAAATTGGTTAGTTTGAAGTTAGCTAAGCGTCAGAAAATTGTGACATTGTCTAGTGATCCAACAGGTAGTTATCCATAAAAATGTAATTACTTTGGGTGTAAGATGCCACAGATCTTGGCTTTTTGCAAGAAGCTTTCAAGTGGATAAACCAGCTTGTGCTGCATTTGCTGTGCTTAAGCACCTTTGAAGGAACAGGAAGAAAATATGCTTGCTCTGGGAAAATCTGACTATTAATATAGTAAGATACAGTCAAATTTTATGAAAGGTTTCTGCAGGGCTTTGCTTTAGCTGTCATTTGGCACATTTATTGCTGCTTCAAAATTCTTCTCAAAGCAGAATTCCTGCAGCCTGTGGCAAAATCTAATGCAGAAGGAAAAATTTTGCAGCGTTGAATGTCCAGATGAGTGCTTTCGCTGTAATGAGAAGACACCTTGTCTCTGCTACGTATCTGACACTTGCACAGCTATTAATTATGTGCCTGTTGGCTTTTTTTCCTCTTCCAAGTTCCTGAGGAGGTGATGTTCTTTGTGTTATGTATATCACATACAAATCTCTAAAGCTTCACCTTCCAGGATAGTGCTGAAGCTACCATAGCAATGGCGGGCTTCATCAGTGATGCTGGTGGTGACCCATAGTTTCCTCTTGATGGTAATTTCTTTTTTAGAAAGATGAGGGACAGCTACTCTATCTTTGGCTGCTGTTCAGTGTCTTTGCCTCCTTTAGCTCTGATACTGCTCTCTGGAAACATAAGCATTACTGTGGAGCAGGTTTGGTTTTGAAATGCTAAAATTTCTGGCTGTGTTTTCTGGATTTCATACAACTAAATAATTGTGGTTTTGATGTCAGTGTAACTTTTCCATGATTACACAGTAGTATTCTGTCAACGTATTCCTGCCAAAGTTTAGCATGCTGTTTGCCTCCAAAATTAAAATACTATTAAATCGTACAAGACGTATAGTATAAAAGGCATACTGGGCTCTTCAGACCTGCATGCAGAACATTATATTCTTCCATTTTTTGTGAGGTATTTGTGTTGCATGGGAATCATAGAAATCATAGAAGGGAAGGAGTATACTTAAGAAGACACAGCCCAGAAGCTCTGCTGGTGCTGGTTTGGCTGTTAGTGGTCAAGTGCTGCTCTGCTGAAGTCTAAGCGTGATCTATACCAGCAAAACTTCACATTCTCTTTCCTTACAAGTTGTTGGTTTTTTTTTCCCTTCAGTGTTTGCAGGGGTGCTGGAAACCATTTCAGAATCTGGCTGGCCTTTGAACAGCAGCTGGGGGGTCTGTGGTTGTAGGACTGCAGGCTCAGCAGCATACATCATTTCAGTTTTGAAGGTGGAGTAAAGTTGTATAACTCATCTTGAAGATGTGATGGCGAAGAAGTCCTGAAGACTAGGAGTTAAACTTCAGTTTATGCCTTTGCCCATCCATTTTGGGGAAATACTCCTACAACTGTGTCATTTTGCTTCATGTATTTGATTTCTTAAAATTCTGAAAGTCACCGGATATGCATTAAATGTTTGTGTTCTTATTGCAACCCTTTATAGTTGAATATATGTACAATTGTTTCAGTCCTTTTTTAAAATGGGGAGATTTTTATTTTTTTTGTCTGATTTGGGTTCTTCATTATTCAAGAATGAAAAAGGAGTCTTAATACTGACTGTGTCTCCAAAATGACAGCTGTTGCATTTCTGTTGGTAATATCTTTGTACTTTCAGACATATGCAGTTATGTTGGATCACTATTTAGTCATCTGTATAGAAAATACCTTTGTGGAAATGCATTATTATGCTGTGATTTTTCTTGATGTGAAAAATGTAGGTAGAATTTCAAATAATTACATTGTCTGTTGCTTTTCTTGTTTAAACAGTATGAGAAATCAGATTGACTTAAAATTGGAAAGTAACTCATTTTTGGGAAATACTGACTGCTGATTCCTTTTACAGCGCTACTGATCTGTCACGCACAAACTGTCAGTTTTAATTACATCCTAGCATCTCGCATCATCTGTTTTGATCAATTAAAGGGAAGTATAACAGAATTGGCAAACCGAAAACAGAACCTTAAGACTAGTAAAAATCCTTAAGCAATGATGCTGTTATCAATTTTGGTAAATTGAATTAACTGTAACAGGATGGTTTTTCTTTATATAACATGAAGGTGTGTCAAGCAGGAAATAATTGCACATACGCATTTGAAATATACAACTAGTATTTGCTGTGGTGGACAAGCAGCTTACTCTTGACACTGGGTAAATAGGTTGAACTTCTTTGGGAATTATTTACTGTGATTTCAAAACGGGATGGTGAATTTTCACTAATTAATTGAAACCATTTCATTTCCTTTGTATGAGTGGATGTTACTGGTGGTGGATTCTGTCATCTTGAGCAGGAGCCTTCTTGCTTAACTGTTTCTGTACCTGAGCAAGTTGTCTAGACAGCTGTTTTTGGTAAGAATCTGCTAGCTGGTTGAGAGTGTAGGCTTGTTTGATCAAAAGCAGGTGTCTACCTTGGGATAAGAAGACTGGGTGCTGTCAATTGTATTGGCTATATGCATATATGCTCTGCTGACTGTGAAGGGTCACCACAAGCCTGTGGTGCTTGCCTGATAGGGCTCATGCTTGTGTTGTCCTGACGAACACTTCATCTTGCAGTGAGGAAGCATTTATCTGGAGCATTCTACAGGGGTGCTCTAAAGGTGACAGAATTTGATTATTTATGTTGTTTCTTATAACAAGAAGGGCATATTGTGCAATAAATGTGCGTGTATATGCAATTAAAGAAATGGGGACTGAGTGCTTTTACTGGTACTGTTCCTGTGAGACTGCTGCTTTGGAGCTGATCTGAAGAAGAACGGTCCGCCCAGATCTCTACCTGTGTCCTGAACACCTCTGCATACCACTGCAGCTATGTTGCCACTGCTGCTTCTTTCCATCCATGACCCTCTAGTCTTTCTCTTTGAGGAACTGACTGGCATGTTTGATTTCAACCTTTCTTGGCCTCAGTGATGTCTTACATTGCTCTCTATCGTGTGTGTACTGTAACTTTGTTAAACTGTGCGTGCAGCCAAAAATGTAATGATTTTGCTTCCAGAACACTCTGGAGAGTTCAGGTATTTTTGTGTATTGGTTCACTAAGGCTGTGGCATTTTGGTGTAAGCTAATGACTGTCCATGTTCCCCTTGTAAAACCTCCCTATAATTACTTACAAATGTTGGCACCTACTGTATAGCCTGTGTGTTGAAGGACAGGATAGGGCCAGTTTATAGCCCTGGATGGTAGGAAAAGCGAGAGGGTGGCCAAAAATTAATTAGGGAGATATTCTTTTGAAAGAGGTACAAACCTACATTCCTAATGAAAGTCTGAAATCTTGTGAGCAGTTGAATATGCTGAGTGAAATAATGTCACCAGTTTGATCCTGACCAGTTCTTGACTCAGTGTGGGTGGTTGGCTTGTTTTGTTTTGGTTTTTTAACTGCTTTCACTAAGAAATAATCTGAAATTATGGGAATGGGATTGGCTAGGTATCAACTCAAATCTCTCTTTTTAAAAACAAAAAAACCCACCCGCAAAACCCCAAACCCAAATACCTCTCAACAAGGCTTAGAAGATTGCTCTTAACCCTTACCTGAACATAAGGGTTTTTCTCTTTAACATTTCGTGTGTGTGTATTCAACTTTCCCTCTAACATGTTTGGGACTGGGGGAAAGATGGAAGAAGAGAGGATTTATAAGTCTGCAGAATTTGTTAGGTGTGTTACCTTTAGGTCTTCCTAGTTCCACATGTACCTCTGATTATCTTCATGAAGAGGCTTTGTTTTAATGTGGGATAAGGGGAAAAGATACAGGAAAGGCCAGGAGGAAAAACTGTTCTTGTTTCTATATTTATATTAGGGCTGTGCTGCCTTTTGACATTATGTATGTTGAAGACACACAGCTCTATTTATATATTAGTGTGGAGGAGGGAATCAGTCTTACTAAATATTACAACTGCGGACATTACAGCTTTTCCACACTGAGGACACACATTCTGTTTGTGGTTTGACTCTGTCTTTATTTAAAAGAAGATGGTCTTTAATTGTAGGAGCTCTTCAATAGTATATCCCTAAAATATGTCTGAAATGCTGCATTTTTCATGTTTGTTTGGGACAGATGTGGGTCTTGTGTCAGTGTAGAAAGGGCTTTTAATTTTGTACATGCACAGAGCTAATCACTTACTGCTTATTATTCAGTTACAGATT